ATAAAATTTTAAAAATATTGATTTATTTTATGTTTTGCATTAAATAAAATATGTTATTTAAAATATTCATTTCATTTGTTAATGTTAATTATACAGCATAACAAATGTTGCTGTTAATTATACAGCGTGTTTCATAAATGCATACCAATATTTCAAGGGGTAAATGTACATTCTAAAATAAATAAAAACTTCATATGAATATATGCTTTACACATATTAGTTTTCGAGTTATGGATTATGGAAGAAAATGTTCGAAGTGTCTGCCTCGAAATTTACTCTTTGAAATGTTGACGTGCATTTATGAATCACACATATTAATTATAAATAATGAATACTATAAATGTTAGGTATTTAATAATTGTACCTTTACCTGTTTTTCTGGACATATTTATCGGTTAATATAAGATGTAATGTAAATATTGCTTAATGTTTATTGAGTATGGGTACACATAACGTCATTCAAACTTATTATCATCTTATAATCACATACGAACTTTTACTATACTTAACTAATTTTATAACGTAATCGATCGCTTGGGATCGTTTTATACAATGAGTTTGCATGCGCTTATATTATGAATAAGACGGGTCACAGCTAATTCCTTGTAACGAAGCGCCCGAGGGCTTTCGTGATTACCACCCCGAAGGGCGCACCACGCCCTGACGCTCCCCGACTACCCGGGAGTAGTGCTACCAGGGCGCCGCTAGGCGATGTATGGGCAGCCCTGTTCTCTCGAGAATGAATATGCTACTAATGTAGTATCAGCAAAGCACCGACAGGTGGCGCACACCCAACTCCACTCACTAGCCGGCGAGATGAGGATTGACGGGCTAGATAGAGTCCGCACAGAGCACCGATGAGGCACTCGTTCTCCGGGGAGCTCAGCGGAACAAGTTAAACGGAGACCGGGCAGGCGACCGGTATCAGTGGTCCTCCCCATCGAAGAGACCAGGGCAGCCGGTATTGGTGCTCGCCTCCTCCGTTCTTGCAAGGGAGGCGACCAGCCGATATCGGTGGTCTTCCCCACCGAAGAGGCCGTGGCAGCCGATATCGGTGCTCACCTCCACCGTACATTCGTCGTTCTTACGGCGAACCTCGGAGGTCGTGGTCGCACCACTACCCCCCGAAGGGTTCGAACACCGCACCACTCTCCGAAGGGTTGGGACACCGCACCACCGCCAGGTGGCACCGGGGGTAACCCCCTTCTCCGACCCGCTGTCTCGGCTATAGAAGAACCAATCCCGATTCTCACAGGAGAGATTCTCCGTCTGGCCGGCACCGTAGCCAGACCGCCGAACTGACTAGAGGTTTTCCGAGGCCAACTCGGAGGACCGATCCGATCGCTCCTGCGGGAGCAACCCCGGAGAAGCTACCCAGCTACTGGGCTCCGGAACTAGCACCCGCAACGTTGTTGACGCACCGACTATACCGATCGTACCGACCAGGCGTGGACACATTTCGAGACACATTCCGAGGAGCGCCCGTAAGGCCCATAACCCGGAGACCACCGTCTCCATCGCCAATCCGACCTCATTGTGCATAACCCCGCCAACGGCACTTGTAAATACTCTGTATATAGCCGCGTAGAATATAAGGACGTCTACACGATGCAACTCTGCTTATCTCTCTCTTTCTCACTCTCTCTCTCTCTTTCTCTCTCACTCCTTCACCTCCTCCCGAACCCTGGGCTCTGGCGAGCCACATCCCGGCTAAGCGAGGTCATCCAGTGACCGAACCGTTACATCCTGTTGCACAGGTTAGGTTTCTAAATGTCCAAATGAAAGATAGGTCAATTAAGAAAACCCACTGCGACATGAGCTTTATTTTGTGACCGTTACGACGTATGAAACGATCCCAGATGATTATTTCCAGGTTAACTATTTTCTTTATGCAAAAATCTCCAAAAAGATAAAAAACCGTAAAAAAATTAAAGTGATTCGGTAAATTTAAATGCATTGATAAATTTGTTAGTAAAGGAAGCTTGACGTTTTTTTTTTAAACTGTTTTGCCTAATCCTTTAGAATAAGTATCTAACCTAATCATACGATATAAGTATACGATTAAGTAAGTAATTTAGAATAAGTATCTAACCTAATCATACGATACTGTACGCTACGTATCACGAATGTCACCAGTGGTCTTAGGATAAAAACATGTTAGAAACTAGCAAAAATTCATCGTTAATTGTAGATAATTTCATTGATTTCCAAAAAGAATGATAAGATTATATGAAAGTTGGCAGGAAAAGAAGGATAATGATGGCAAGTACTATTTGATTGAACATAATACATATGTTATTATTATTAATAAAATGAACGTGACAAAATTTCGACGACTCTCTACAAATTCGCAATAATGTTTTAAAGTACATCATCATCATTGGTGATGATCGTGACATACAACGATCCATCGAGCATCCTTGATGATGCCAATTATACGATGAATACATATGATATCGGTAGAGGAAGCAGTCGATATTACGAGAAACACGCGTGCCGACATTTGCAGTTGAAGACTTGTCTCAAGACGATCGAGAATGACTGGTCATCGTTGAACACGGACACGGAGAAGGCAATTCTGCAGCGCCACGCCTCATATGCACAGCACATCACAACGTCGTATGCAGGTACGTCTTATGAGTGCAGAAATTTTGGTGGGGAACTCTTTCCGAAATTCGGTCGACTTTGCTGAAAGATCGTTCAACGTAGCGCGTCGATATACGCGCATCAATTTTTAGTTTTCATGCAATTGACGGGGATTCTTCTCATATTCAAGTCGTCTATGACATTATTGTTTGAAGACACCACGAACACGACACTGCCTATCATAGTGGCAGAATCGAAGTTACCCTTTCGCGTGGAATATGGCGAGAAGATGAGACAGTGCCTGTTCCCGGTCGCGATACACTGTTACCTGGCCGTGTTCGCTCATAGCAACATCACAATCGCAGTTGATAGTCTGTATATCACGTTGGTCCATCACGCTTGCGGGATGTTTAAGATCGTTGGGTGAGTATGCCGTCGATTCTAGCTCCATGACAAACAACATAGAGACCGAAATAGTAGGTGAATCTTCACCGTAAGTTTATTTCTCCACGTATCGAATTACAATCCATTGTCCACTTGATTAAAAGAAAAAATGAATAAATAATATCTGGTTTTCGAAATGTCGAAATATTAAGTTGGGGAAAAAGAAATCCATTATTTTTTCGGTAGATGACTGTAGTTATCGATATCTCGTAAAGTATCGATCATACAATTTCAGATTTATGCTCGTTGGAAAGGTGACATTTCGCACTAAAAAATTCTTTTGTTGTTTTTTGTTTGGTCCATTCAGTTGTGAGTTACAGGGTGTTAAAAATGGAAGTCAACAAAGAGAAAATTCGGTACATTTTACAGTTTTTCTTTGATAAAGGCGAAAATGCAAGCCAGGCGACTGTAATTGTGAATGGTGTTTATGGTGCCGATACTGTAACAGCCACTCNATTTTGGTTTCGTCGATTCCGTTCAGGTATTTTTGATGTTAAAGATGCACCTCGCACAAGTAGGCCCGTCGTTGAAAATGTCGATAAAATCACAGAAATAATCGACCGGCATGTTAGCAGTCGTAGCATCTCCCAGGAGGTAAAGACTGACCATAAAACAGTTTTAAACCATTTGCACAAAGCTGGATTCAAAAAGAAGCTCGATGTTTGGGTGCCACACCAATTAACACAAAGAAACATGATGGATCCATCTGCGAAGCCTTGGCCAAACGGAATGAAATCGACCCATTTCTTAAACGGATGGTGACTGAGGATGAGAAATGGGTTACATACGACAACATTGTGCGAAAACGATCGTGGTCAAAGCGCGGTGAAGCAGCTCAAACGATGGCCAAACCAGGACTAACGGCCAGGAAGGTTCTGCTGTGCATTTGGTGGGACTGGAAAGGAATCATTTATTATGAGTTGCTTCCATATGGCCAAATACTAAATTCGGATCTGTACTGTCAACAACTGGACCGTTTGAAGATAGCGATTGACCAGAAACGGCCAGAATTGGCCAACAGGAGAGGTGTTGTGTTCCATCAGGACAGGCCACACATGTCTATAGTGACTCGCTAGAAACTCCGGGAGCTTGGTTGGGAAGTTTTGATGCATCCACCATATAGTCCGGCATCAAGCGATTACCATGTTTTTCTTGCATTGCAAAACTTCCTTAGTGATAAGAAATTGGCATCAAGAGAAGATTGTGAAAATCGATTACTAGAGTTTTTCGCCAATAGGGACCAAGACTTCTATAAGAGAGGCATTATGAAGCTACCTTTAAAATGGCAACAAATTATAAAACAAAACGGTGCAGATTTGACCAAAATCGGACAATCTGAAACCTGTTAAATAAAGTCTTGTTAAAGTTAAAAAAAAAATTTACGTAAAAGTAATGGATTTCTTTTTCCTCGACCTAATATATAAATCGTTGAGAGATCGTTGTTTCACCTGAGTTATTTTCAGACAAACATTGGAATATATCGGTAAGAATAAAGGTGATAATTTCGATTTAAAACCCGACAGGATAACGGACGAGGATTATGGAAAAGCATTGAGCTGCTTACGCAGACATCTGCATGTAATAGAGTGAGTGTGGACGCGCGTGTAACAGCAGGTCTGTTCGTTTTAATTAAATTACTACTGCATTGGAACTTCGTTCCTTTCCCCTTCAACACTAGATTGTACACTTGTTTCATTTTAAAGGGCTGTCTGAAATAGCCGTAAAGTACGCAATAAGACGTATGCAGTAAGCTAATTGACTAATTAGATTCATACATTAAAAAATTAATCGACTATGGTCAATTGGATAACTGCTTATGTCTTACTCTATATTTTACGTCTTACTGTGATTTTACAGCTTATAGCCGGCCCTTAAAGGTACAAAGTGCAGTGTAATTTGACTAAAAGGAACAAACCTAGTGTACAAGATGTTGCACTAATATTCAAAGCAACGTGCCGAAGTGACACTGCAGATACTGCTCTACATTAAGAGCAATTGAGCTCTCTCTCTCCCTCTCTCTCTCTCTCTCTCTCTCTCTCTCTCTCTCTCTCTCTCTCTCTCTCCTTCTCCCCCCCCTTTCTCACTCTGCCTCTCTCTCCGTTTTCTCCTCTTTCTTTCTCCCTTTCTCTCATGTACCAAGTGTATGCATAAGTTTTTTCCGGTTTTTTAAAAAAAAACACGTAATTTTCAAGGGAAATTAATTTTTTTTTATTCAAAATATTGGCCATCGGCTTCTACACATTTCGCCCATCTTTCAGGTAATTTATGAATACTATGCCAGAAAAACTGCTTGTCTTTTGCGGCAAACCATTCGTCGAGCCATTTTCCAACTTCCTCGAAATTGCTGAAGTGCTGCTCTGCGAGCGCGTGCCCCATTGATGCGAAGAGGTAATAGTCAGATGGCGCCAGGTCTGGGGAGTACGGCGGGTGCGGAAGGATGTCTCATCCAAGCGATTTCAAGGTGTCTTTCACTGGTTTTGCTGTGTGAGACGGCGCATTGTCGTGTAACAAAATCACTTTGCCATGTCTTCTGGCCCATTCCGGTCGTCTTTCGATTAATGCGTGGTTTAAATTAATCATTTGTTGGCGATAGCGTNTCAAATTAATACGCTGCGTACTTTTCGCTGGCGCCATCTCTTAGTTAAACCGGAAAAAACTTATGCATACACCTGGTATGCCCTTGCAGTAGCAACCTGGCATACTGCTCTGTATATAAGATGTACAAAATATAGTATCAAAGTACAAAGCAGTATGACATGTTGCATATTGTGTGCAGCTCATTAAACTTTAATGGTATATTTATTTGCCTACTTTTATGTAAGTGTGCAAATAAGTGTAACGTCCTAGAAGTGAACGCAACGACCGCGCGCGTAGACGCGTGCCCCAAACGTAACCGAAAGCTTTACACTGACGCAAGCGTACGCAGGGTGGTCCTAATTTAGGTCAGGGCACCGAAGCCCTTTACCTGGGATGGGACCGCGAGTGGAGTAACTGGGGAAAGGGTAGTAATCGCGCGATGGTATTAAATAAAATGGGAATTTTAGAATAACAATTTCGATATTTATATTCTGTTGCGTGTAATATTACAAAATTGCGAGAGTGATAAAATTACAAAATAAAACGGCGTACGGAACGATTACAATCATACGGTGTGTGTGTGTGTGTGTGTGTGTGTGTGTGTGTGTGTGTGTGTGTGTGATAGCAGGTTTACAGGGAGTGTTTTAAGGGGAGGGCAGTGAATTGGGAGGGTTCCGAAGAAGAAGTACGGGAATCGTACGGGGACGGAGATGGGTCTGGGGTCCGTGGGTCTGGGGTAGGAGATCGTGAAGGTGGATTAAAATAATATGGAGGAGACGGGGGAAGCGAAACCCAAGGGTAAGGTGAAGGAGTATTACGATGGGGTGGTGTTGGAGGGGTTGGGGGTTGATAGTGGGGGTCGGGTGAGTAGGAAGGAGCGAGAGAGGAGCCTGGAGGTATTAAGGTATTCCTGTTATAAGGGGGTGGTGACTGTACACTCCTGTCAGGGGTTAAAAGCTCGGCAAAAGCTGTTAGCTTAGCGGCTAAAGTAGCGTCGTCAGCCTCGTTTAACTCTCTGACTGAGAGCCGGAGGGCCTCGAGCCTTTCCTCACCAGATAGGGTATTCACTGCGCCACGGGAGGTGTTAATATACTAAGGAACGGGGCAAAGTAGAGTGATTAAAAACGGAGGTGGGTACTTATTCGTACGTGTACTAGGTTTGGGGATGCGTAACCTTTTCGGTCGGCTGGTCCCTCGTTTTTGCGGATGCGGAACCTTTTCAATCGGCTGGTCCTTCTCTCAAGAGTCCGGTCGTCTGGCTGTTCGGATGGTTGCACTCGCGGTAATATTCGACTTGGTCGGTCAGATTAATCGTGAGATATGTGAGTAATTATTTGCAAGTGCTGCTGAACCGCGTAATGAAAATTAAAGCCTCTGCACAGTTAAGGACTATATCACAAAGGACTGAGAATCGCAACAATGATGATTCGTGACGAGACGTTCAAAAGAAAAAACCAAGTGTGTCTCGTGGCAAGAGACTGGGGTTTGTATAGGGCAGATTTTTGGGGGTGGTGGATGACGTGCACCAATGAGAGGAGGTTGCGTGGAAGACGGTTACTCCGGAAAATTCCTAGTATTAATATAAACAATTCTAAGAACCTAATCGCATAGGAGGGCCCTTGTTATACAAGGGTGGATAGATCGCAGCCTCATCGGAAGCCTTATGACATATGTGGGCGGTGTGTACTCGTATCTTTTCATAAACCGCTTGATCAAATTTGTTAGTTTTATAATCATAAGAGGAGGAATTCGTTGCTATTTAGGTACCCAGTATGGACACATACGTGCTTAACGTAGAGGTGGCTAGATATTTTAGTTATATAAAAAAAACGAATCTGTCGTCCCCGGGGTACCTAGGATGTAAATAAGCTACATACCTTATATAAAGGCAGAATGAATGATAAACGCATTGGGAACCATACGGCACGTTTAGCGGCGGCCAATGTAATCTTATCTTTGTTCCAGTTGCGCTTGCCCGAAGTCCATCTATGTCCTAATCATATAATTAAAAAGAGAGATTCATAGTTTCCGCGATGCCCAGGACGTAACATAAGTATACCGTCAAAACCTAATAAGTCACGTAAGATCATGAGCGCTTATTAATAGATAACTTGTCGTACTGACCTATTATCTATATCTTTATATTGGCGCAACACTGTACACGTTATGTGGATTACATCCACGTTTTCGTATCACTTTTCAGACTCGTAGTTTTTGCAGATTCGCGGAACTGATAGAGGCCACGTTTACGAATATATTTTTAGTCGGCGTATGTTTAAATATGATTGGCGGTAGTATGATTGGCATACAGGTACGTATTGGTTGTTAGATATATACTTTGCAAACAAACAGCACTTTATTTAGCAAACAAGAAGGGAAAAAAGGAGAGAGAAAGAGAGACAGAGAGAGAGAGCGAGAAGGGGACAGGGACAGAAAAAAGAATGAACATTTCAGGATTTGATGAAAAGAAATTAATATTCGATGAAACAACTATATTTTTGAACTCGATTAATTTAACAGTCAAAGGAAACGAAAAGATCTCTCAGAAGCTATTCGTGTGTTTCAGGTGGTCCTTAACTTGGACGACGCAAAGGATGTTGTAGAACCTCTTACGATATACATCGCTCAACTTTTCCACCTCTTCCTACAATTCTGGCAGGGTCAATTTCTGTTAACCTACAGTGCTGTTCCCTACGAATCCATGTAAATATTCAAAGTATCAAACTATCACGTATCGCGGCGAGATTCATCAGAATATCTTCACGTCCTGAAACGAATCTCACTCTGGATTCTAGTTGCAGAGCAAATTGGTATTATACTTCGGGCAGGTGCAGGAAGATACTTCTCTTAATCATGAACAGAACTGTGTTACCGTGCAAATTGACCGCTGGAAAAATCGTGATTCTATCCATCGAGACTTTTGGCGTGGTAAACCAAACTGCTCTGTTGCTTTCAATTTTCCTGCTCTAACCACGTTCTCTCAAAATCAAAGTCTCATTCTTCGAAGGTTTTGAAAACGTCGATGTCTTTCTTCACAATGCTGCGTTCCTTCAAATAACGATCACTAATATATTGATTCGGCTCGTTGATAGAATTTCAAAAACCATGTTTACGCAAGGATACAAGATGAACCATTTTCTGAGAAAGTTGTTCTGACCCGTCGAAACAGCTTGTCATGACAATTAGAGGGAATAGCCGATTTATTCTTTTTGTAAAAAAAAGTGTTAAAAATATACAAAGAGAAATTTTGCAATAATGAACTTTGAACTTTCCATACCGATATAAAAAAAAGCCGGCTGCGTTCAATAGAAAAAGCAGCTATTAAGTCATTAAATATAAAATGTCTAAATTTGAATCAAAGTTTGGTTCGTTATATTTCAAACAAGAAGCAGTACAATTAATCAAAGNCGGGATTTTTAATGAAAACAAGCGTTTTTTGGGCAAAGTTATATTTATTCTTCAACATAGTTGCCTTCGAAATATGCGATACACTTGGTATAGCGATTTTCCAACATTTCGATGCCCTTTCTGTAGTACGAAATGTCCAAGCTTTCGAAATACGCCTCGGTTTCCGCGATGACTTCCTCATTCGATGTGAATCTTTTTCCCTTTCCGCTTGAAGTTTGGGAACAGATAATAGTCGCTGGGGGCCAAATCTGGA